ATATATATATATATATATATATATGAAAACTTCTGAGGAAATATTTGGTTCGCTGAAACAAAAACAAATGCACTTTTATTAGATGCAGTATCTGCAACATTGTCATTTATTTCAGCTTTATGAGGGTGTATAAAAACCATATAAAGTCCATTAATGTCGAGTAAGTCAATCGAATTAATTAATTGAAATACAATTCTCATTTCTGCTCCATGTCTTCTGTCGTCTGATTGATAGTTTAGAATTTGTTTTATCAAGTAAAAGGCCTTTTACTCTAATTATACAAACATCTACATTCAGCTTGTTTTTTTTTGAAAAACCAAGAGTATCAGATATGATCATCAGGCTATTGAGGAACATTTATTTTTTCACCTCTCAATCATCATTGGATTGCATTGCATTATATGTCTTGATCATAAAACTAAGCATTTAAATATCATCTTACTAAGACATATTATTGGAGATATAGAGTGACAACTGATATTCATGTCATTTTATGTAAGCATCTGCTGTACTGTTATAAAGATCTCATTGATTTACATCGCAAGCTATCAGCAGTTCATCTTTGTTTCACTATATCATACTGTATCATTTATATTTGCTTTTATATTTTCCCTAAAGGTTCAATAAACTGCTCAATTTGAAATAAACCCAGATCTTTTAGAGCAGATGTACACTATATACTCACACTGTAGGGATGTACTCGCCAGGGAAGGCATTTGTGGTGTAGCTGATCAGCAGACAGGTTTTACCCACCGCCCTGAGGACAGACACACCAGACAGCTTAGCTAGGTGTTTCTGAGATGCACTACTGTGCATTTAAAAAAAAAAAAAAACAGATGGAGAGGAAATAATGGTGAAAAGAGCACTAGGTCATAACGTTATATGCAGTGTTGGGGAAAGTTACTTTTAAAAGTAATGCATTACAATATTGCGTTACTCCATAAAAAAGTAACTAATTACGTTACTTAGTTACTTTTTATGGAAAGTAATGCGTTACGTTACTTTTGCGTTACTTTTTAAATCTGGACAGGGCTTGCTTGTTTGTTTTTAAAATAAAAAAGTTATATTTTTGGCAAATATAAAACCCTTTTCACACCAAAAGTGAAATGAATAAGCATCAGGTTGAAGGGAAAGTAAATTTACATCCAAATTTCAAAACACTTCAGCAATAAAAAAAGACACAAATGTTTGTCTCTTATTTGAAAAAGTAACTCAGATATTCTCTTGTAAATTAAAAAGTAATGCGTTACTTTACTAGTTACTTGAAAAAAAGTAATCTGATTATGTAACTCACGTTACTTGTAATGCGTTACCCCTCAACACTGATTATATGATGAATAAGGTTGCATCAAGTAAAAGTAGTTAGTGCTGCTAGTGTGCTCTTTATTTGGGTGTTAGTATGTCAGATAGTGACAGACCCTGTCCCAGATTCACACTCGCCTGAGGGCAACACACACACACACACAGAGCTCCATTACCAAACGCGCACTGAGAGAGCGCTAGCTGCTAAGAATCGTTCGTTCGAGTCGGATGAAGGACTCGTTTACGAAGCGATTCTCGAATCACCCCCTGACTGATTCGTTGAACCGAGCTGTTTTCGTTAAAAAGAATGCAAACATGAAAAATATGTGATATGATAATGATGTCGATTTTATAAAGGTATATTATCAATCTGCTCATTATATATGGAAAATTCACTACCTTCACACATCAACAGAAATGACAAGTAACAGACTGCAAATTACTGTGAAGCCTTAAATATTTTCTTTTGTGTTTATTTATAGTGCACAAAATGTGTTGATTACTTACCAAGACGCCGATTTACCAACTTTTTTTTTCTTTTGATGTGTCTTTGTAATTTGATCTGATATAACCGATATCTTATAATTGCCTTTAATTGTACGCAATGACGCCGTGACGTAAAATAATAGCGAATCATGTTCCTGAACCGGTTCTTCAAAAGAACCGATTCGCGGAACGACTCGGACTTCGCAGCACTAGACAGCAGGGGAAACTCTCGCTCACGCGCATAAGAGGGAGTGGTAACCATAGCGTTTCTGCTTCAGAATTTTGCCATTCAACACGGGTCACCCTATTAAATTCACTCTCTGATACAGCGAACAAAAATGGCACATTTCTGTTCAAAGCCCGTTCATTTAATGTTCAATAAACAATGCATACTGACAAGCCGCACGTGCATTACGATTCAAAATAATACACGAAGACAAGAAACAATTATTAATGTCTCACGCTGTAATGCGACCATTACAATAACGTTAGCTATACACATTCCGATAATATTTTAGCTTTACATGCATTCTGCATACATGCACATGCTTAGGGTCAAATATAGGATATTACGCTGAGCAAATAATAAAATGCAAAGGCCAGAACTAGGGATGCATGAATTACAATGCCCAACACGGGGTTTCCAAGGATGCTCCTCTCCATCAGCTCCCAAAAACACTACTTACCCGTCGCCGACAACCACGCATTTAATAGCTTGCATTTGTGGAGAGGCAGGTTGCTTCACTTCACAGGCGAAAATGTATTTTATTATGCCACAGCTCCCACTTAACCCGAGAAACGATAGATATCTGCAAAAACACGGTCACTGCCCTCTTTGCAGCAGCGGCTTTGACAGCGAACCTCACCGAGACTCTCCGGGAAAAACCGAAGAAATTTAAAGGGACAGGAGCCGACACAGCGTCGAGTCATTGCCTACATACAGGATTGAACAGTAGCTAGCTACTGAATACTACGGAATATGTCCTATTTACTATAAACTATCTTTTTATAGTAATTGTAACAGTTGGCGTTATAAGACACTAAATATTTAAAACAGTGGTAGGCTAGATGTTTGTCACGTGATCTTACCTCACTTATGGAAATATTTCTTTATAGTACAGTATGTTTTACAAGTGGCAGAGGATTAGGAATAAATATAGTTCACCCAAAAAATGAAAATGTACTCTCCCTCAGGCCATTCAAGGTGCAGATGAGTTTGTTTGGTTTTCCCCATGGGAACAGATTTGGAGAAATGTAGCATTACATCACTTGCTCACCAATGGATCCTCTGCAGTGAATGGGTGCCGTCAGAATAAGAGTCCAAACAGCTGGAGAGCAATATGCACAGACCAATCACAGTTTGCAAGCGAAAACAATCCAAAACAGATCTAAACAAATATGTCCATGGATTTTGATGCGAAAGGACAACAGAGAATTGACTTTTCACTGGAGAATGCGTTATTATGGATTATGTATTTTAGCTGAGAGCAATGGTTTAATATTAAAACATTTTCATTTTTTGTGTATGAGCTAACGTAAAGAATGATCTTTACTCCATTACATACAATCAGCTCAGAGTTTTTGAAAAAAAAAACATTTTATTTAATAGCCAACACACATTACAAAAGTGGAAGAACTCTGACAGTGGAAATCATTTTAAAATATACAATTTGTAAGTGACGTAATATAAGAGCGTTGATGGACAATATGGCACACTGGGGATTTTGAAAAGGCACATTTTTGAAAGAGCTCCAACATTTTAAATAAAAGTGAATATTCATTAAAAAAGTGAAATTTTTGAAAATAAGTTTTCTGATTATTCGCCAAGGCAAACCCCTTTTCCGAACCAAATATATACACTTAAAAGTATTTTAGTATAATTGTTTTTTTTAATTCATGAAAACATGTCACTCAAATATGTAAAAGCATTGTAAAAACTTGCAATATGCAGTAGATTTATTATGCATAGTTGCAAAGCACCCTGATGGAAAGTGTATAACAGACCTGTGGGGAAATCACAGAAGTCTTGGCATAAGAGTTCACTTTTTGGGGCTGAAGTGAGCGAGAGGAGAGCCCTGGACGTACGTGAGAATGGCATTCTGGAGGAAGCTGGCTCTCTGGGCCTCGTCCTCACGTATGCGCTGGATCTCTCCTTCTCTAATGCGCAGCCGCTCAAGCAGAGACGAGATCTCACTCTCTTTGTCCAGAAGGGCCTCTCTGTGGGCGGTACTGAGAACTGATCCAAAACACAAACACAATGAGCCATCAGCCTGCAACAGGCATCAGCTTACATAACACACACACACATGAACAGAACAAAAACAAGTCTGGCATTTAGCCCTCGCTAAGTAAAATGAGTTGCATGAATAATTCCTGACATATAGTCAAAAATACAAAGAATCATAATACATATGTACCCTTCATCTCTCTCTCCAGAGCAGCGATCTTCTCTTTAAGGCCGCCCTGTGCCGTTCTCTCAGCCTGCAGGTGGCCGATCTGCTCCTGTAGTTCCACACGCACTCGTGACACTTCTGCCACTTTCACCTGCTCTTTCCCTGCAAGGTCCTTTGATTCAAAGATACAACAACAGCTCATTTACATTTATCTATTTAAATTTATTTATTTAAAATCAGGGTTATTTTTGTCAACTAAAACCACAAAAACATTTTCATTATATATAAAAAAAAAACTTGCTGAGATAATAATCAAGGAATAAAAATGAAAATTTTTTTCTTCAGCATGCAATATTTATGTTTCAGTCTGTAATGGCTTGTGATTCCTCCAACATCATAACTCTGATTAAAAAATATTTCATAATTTTAACTTCATTGCATTATAAAAAGTGACACCATAATAAACAACAATATTTACCTACATACATTTTTCATTTTTAGTAAAAAAGTTTTTAATGGTGACACTATCATAACATCTATGTTCATAACGTTAGGAAATGTAATGGTAAAATAAATCAAAATTAATCAAAGTAAATCCTAGTGCAGTGGTTCTCAACTAAGGGAAAACTTTCACATTTCTGCAAGATGACTTCAAGTGTTTTAAACTTAGATAAAACATGCATTAAAATAAGCTAAAACGAACATTTGAACACATTAAATATATGGACACAGGACACTCCTTTTGTAAATAAATTGTTGTGGACAGCGAGGGACCTTGGAGTCAAAAAGGCTGAGAACCACTCAGGGTTATTATAATGAACTAAAACAAAACAAAAAACCTTAAACTTTTTTTTTCAGCTAGCTACATTTCACATTTTCATTTAGTTTAACTTGATGAACTAAAATAACTAAAACTGAAATGAATGAAAACTATAGACATATAGACATACAGTATATATATATGTATGAAGAGTTAATTTGCAAAAACCGATAACTTAATTTTTATTTTATTTTCAGAAATCACGTTTTTTTTATTGCGCATTCTTCATTTTTATTTTATTTTCAGAAATCACGTTTTTTTTATTGCGCATTCCAAGTAATATCAATCAAACTGCAGTTGGGTTGTTTTGATTAAGTAATAATAACTTAAACAAATACAGATAATTTACAAAATTAAAGTTCATTGAAAGTATGTTTTTTTTTACATATTAAAAGTTTGTTTTATAGCAAAAGCAGATAACTCCAACAGTCGTTTTTTTGGCAAAAGCAGATAACTCCACATTTCATGTTTTAGAGTTTAAAACGCTCGTTTAATCTGTGTAATCTCCTCAGATGAGAATGTAGACGCCTGACAAACGTTGTTGTTGTTTATGTTGATCATAAACTGTATGGATGTGATTACACACGATACACGGAGCTTTTCCCTCATCATTGTAACGCGCTGCTTTCGCAAGCTTCCGTGAAAACGTTTCAGCTTTTATTTTCCTTTTTCGCCCTGAAGAAGATATCACAGGTTCATCAAGTTCGTCGAAATGATCCATCCTCGATCACTTTTAGTCAGCTTGGACGAAACTCCTCTCAGTTGAAAACAGTTGTGCTGCTTCGTATTTTTGTGGAAACGGTGATTAATTTTATGTTTCAGGATTCTTTGATGAATAGAAAGTTCAGAACAATAGCATTTATTTGCAATAGAAATCTCTGTAACATTATAAATGTCTTTATACTGTGACTTTTAATCAATTTAATGCATCCTTGATGAATAAAAGTATTTATTTATTTTTAAAAAAAGTGACTGACCCCATATTTTTTAATAGTACTTCATATGTATAACAAAAATAGGCAATAATCACTTTCATTAATAATTAATAATAACCGATATAATTATATTTTAGTTTTGAATTAAAATGCACATTATTTTCCTTTTTAAATAATGCATTCGATCAGAGAATTAAGCACTAAAAAGTCATATTTAAAAGCTGAAAATGTAGCACAGCTTAAAATCAGTAAATACCTCCTGCTCTTTCTTGATCTCTCTGGACTGTCTGTCTCTGAGCTCGGCTTTCTCCATTTTAACTCGAGTCAGCAGCTCACCGAGGTCATGAGCCTTCTGCTCCGACAGAGCTAGAGCCGCCTCCGTCATCTGCAGTCTGAACAACAAAACCTTCGCAAAACACCCCAACATGTTGCACTGATTTTAGCCATGAATTAATTCTTAAAAGGCTGCTTACTTGGCTGTGAGAGAATTTACAGATGATTTCTGCTCGCTCAGCACTTCCTGTAACTGCCCCAGACGTATGGATGAATTTCTACAAGAAATACAAAACCTGTTATACATCCACTGTCACTGTTTACTCACCAAACACGGGGTGAATGAATGATTTTTGGGGTGTATCGGTTCAGTTTTGAGTGACACTAACCTGCTGCTTCTTCCCATCTCGTCTTTCTGTCTATCAATGGTCTCCATCATACTAAGAAACTTCAGGCCACATGTAGAGAAAGGAGATTAGTTGTCAATCCATCCACAGTTTAACCGAATAATCCCAGTCCTCCTCACCTGTCGGCTTTTCTCATCCTTTAGGAGCTGGATCTCTTTGCTGAGCACTTGAGTCCTGCTCCGGCTCTCTCTCAGTGTCGACTGCCTGTCTGCATTGTGATTCATGGACTGTTCTGGGAATATTTGAATTTGCTTAATAAAGGAAAGGCTTTGTGTTTAACATGTGTCTAACAGCTGATGTTGAGCCTCACCGATGGCCCTGAGCGTGTCGCTGGGAATGTTGTTTCCAGCCATCTCTAGTTTGATCAGTGCGCGGTTCTGCTGCATTGCCTCCAGTATAGATCGACCGCCCAGCAGCCCAATGTTGTTCCATCTGAGATCTGCACACAAAATGAAACATTTCTAGACAATAATTATTGTAGAGCTTCACTAGAAAAAATAATGCGCTGTCCAAGACTTCTTAAAATGTAATAATTTTCCATAATCTTTTAGGATGCATTAAATTAATTTAAAGTGACAGTAAAGGCATTCATAATTTATAATGTTGCACAAGATTTCTATTTCAAATAAATGCTGTTTATGTTACTTTTTCATTCATCAAAAACTCCGGAAATAAAACGTATCATGGTTTTCACAAAAATATGAAGCAGCACAACTGTTTTCAACATTGATAATAATCAGAAATGTTTTTTTTAGCAGCAAATCAGCATATTAGAATGATTTCTGAAGATCATGTGACACTGAAGACTGGAGTAATGATGCTGAAAATTCAGCTTTGATCACAGAAATAAATTATATTTTAACAGATATTCACATAGAAAAAGTTTTTTTGAAATTGTAATAATATTTCACAATTTCTACTGTATTTTTGATTAAATAAATGCAGCCTTGGTGAGCAGAAGAGACTAAAAAATCCAAAAATGTTTAAAATTTTAATTATTCCAAACTTTTGACTGGTAGTCTATATAATTTAATATACAGTGTATATGTGTGTGTGTGTGTGTGTGTGTGTGTGTGTGTGTGTGAGTGAGTGAAAAATACTAATATATATATATATATATATATATATATATATATATATATAGGCCATATATGAGCCATCAATAGGGTCTTTCTCTATCAGTTATTGATATTTTTAAGTTAGATAGATGTGTTAACAAACATATGAAAGGTCTTAAATATATTTAAATGATTGCACAGCTTTATTAATATTGACATACATGGAGACAGTAAGTTAATGTGAGTAACTCACAAATACTTCATAAATATTGCACACAACACAGTCGCAATCCCACAGTGCAGGGAATGAGATTCAAAGAAAAAGCGTCTGGCGTTTTGCTAAACATTTACGTCACATCAGCCTCAAATAACTGGGACAACAGCACAACAAAACAGTCCTTGTTGACAGACAATGAGTGTGGAATGTGTTCCTTTACTCACCCAGCTCTTGTAGAGTGGAGGTCCTCTTCAGTGCTAAGCAGAGCTCCGCCGCCCCCTGGTGGTTGATTTGATTATTGCGCAGGTCAAGCTGGCTGAGAGAGGTGTTGGAGGCCAGACCTTCACAAAATACAGCAAATCCTTCCTCCCACATTCCCAGAGCATTCCACTCCAGCACAAGTCTCCAAGCCAAACACAAACAATAGTTTAACATTTACAATATTTTCTTGATAGTTTTCTCTTTCAAACAGAACTAAATCCTCAAAGATGATTGGCAATTAAAGGTGTCATTCCGGTGTCTTTACACAGATTGTTTAATGCTGCTCAGAGGTGGCATGAATGCATTTACACAAATGACTTCACTTTAATACTAGGGGCTGAGGTGGGTCAGAGCACGCATAATCTACATATTTACACAGCATTTTGAGCAGGCACAGAGCAGCCTTAATTCAGCTGTGTAAAGAAATTTTAGAGTACTTTTGAACAATTTTAGAGCTATTTCGAATGAAACTGTTATGCTATGAAGTGGTTATTTTGGTTACTGCATCTGGTGTCCCCAAATGTGACATTCCAGGTCATAAATGATTGCACAAATTATTATTTTTTGTGCCTAATTTCTTGGTATTCCAAATAAAAAATTGCCACTGTAATTTTTTATAAAAATGTAAAGACGTCCTTTACATTTGATGTCACCAAAACCTCTTATTTTCCACAGAGGTAAAATGTGTTGCAAAAGGCACTTTATTATGATTTAGAATGTTATATAATATACAAACGGCAAAGAAACATTCACATATTGTGATTAAATCATTGAGACACATTTTCAGTCTCTCTTTTTATGTGGAGGAAAATAGGAATGACAATAGTTCCAACAATTATAGGCTAGAAACTAATCTTAAAATCACTCACCTGCGCAGTATCTTGTTCCTCACTAACAACTGTCCCAAAGCCTCAGCTCCTGTTCCTCTCATGTTGTTCCCCTGAAAAGAAATGACGGTTTTAGGAACTGTATTACAGACTGAGTAAAATTAGAAGTCAAAATAAGTATATATTATAATACATAACTTAAATGTACCTTCAGATCCAAAACTTTCACTGTGGTGTTGGAGCAAAGCCCATTTAGTAGCAGCTTGACACCTGTAGATGGCAGGAACAGTGGTTTTGAGTGTCAACTACACACAACTACTTAGTAATAAAATAGTAATAACTTAATCGGCTCAAGCAAACATCAATATGATCATTATGCACTCATCGAAAAGATTCAATCTCACAAAACTGGGCAAGAAAGTCCAGGTCATATTTCACACGAAACCAAAGAAGTTAGAGATTACATTTTGTTGTAATAAGTACATTTATAAATGTCATATATTGTTAGAATTCCAATTAATTGTATTCATATATTTGTTTATTTCGCATTTCATTTTTATATTACATAGAATTCTTTCTTATGAAAATTTCACAATACAAAAATGATCCTTGTGTTTGCAGTATTTTCATGTATATTTCTGCTTTGTGAAAAATGTTTTCATGTCAATTATGCACATTTTACCAATAAATTCTCATTTCTGTAATGCAAAAAAAAACTAACAAAAAAAAAAACTAAAAGATTTATTTGATCATGTGAATATATCAAACATAACAGTAATTTTTCACAACTGCCATAACATTCTTTGTTATGAAAATAAAGTCACAATGCAAAAACTGACCTACAAACTGTCTTTTTTTGTTTCTGCAATATTTTATTTCTTTGGATTTTCAGGAGTTTCTTTTTCATATTTAGTTTACTTTGTGACATTATGTTCATGTTAACTATGCATATTTTGCCCATCAATTCTCATGTGCATGGTGCAAAAATTGTAAATTATTTATTAACTGTTAATATTCGTTGCACTTCCTGAAATTTCCATAAAATTGTGTCTTATATAAATAATAATGTCACAATGCAAAAATGGTCCTACAAACCCACTTTCATTTATATTTTCATTCTTTGTATTTTCAAGATTTTTCTGTGAGTTTCATGTTTATTTTGCATTGTGACATTATTTTCATGACAATTAAGCATGTTTTACCCACAAATTGTCCTTTCTGTAATGCAAAATATTGTAAGTGATTGATTAATAGTGTTAATATTTGTTGTATTGCCCTGTAATTTAATTTATCTTTTTTTAGGTCTTGTATAACAGTAATTTTTACAACTCCCAAAAAATTATTTCTTATGAAAATAATGTTACAATGCAAAAACGGTCCTACAAACGGACTTTTTTTGTTAATGCAATATGAAATTTCTTGTTTTCTTTCTGTGAGTTTCCTCGCCCACCTTCCTCACTGAGCATGCAGTCGCTGAGGAGGATCTCTGTGAAGACGGCGTCATTCTGCAGGACTCTTCCCAGCACGCTGCAGGTGTCCACAGTGATGCTCTGCCCCCTCAGGTCCAGTCTACAGCTGCCCGTCACTGTTCTCGTGTCTTGCAGTTGAGCCAGCACTGATTCCTGAGTATCTATTCCTCCCTCCTTACACAGCCTCAGGTACGACCTCCTGAAGTCCTCCATGAGCGCCTGCAGCTCCGTCACCTCTCACTGAGCTGCACAGGAAAGAAAACATTCAACAGACAGGAAGACAATGTGGTTTGAAATGGCAAGTGTATAGAAAGATACAGAAAGAATGACTGGAAATACAATCTGCTTCCATTTGCATTTAAAACGGGCTCTGCCTTGTTATAACTCATCTGGAATCCACACTTTGTTGTCTTTTTGACATACAGTTTTTAAATTTAAGACATAAATTCAATATGGCAAAAAAAAAAAAAAGTAACGTTACTGCAAAGTAGTGGAATATTTACTACTATCTACTCCCAAAATACATGATTATGAAACAAAAATGTAAATTAATTTTAACAATGCATTTCCTTTGTGGTCAGAGGGTTAAAAAATAAAACTTAAAGCAGACATACTCTGTTTGCCTTCGAGTCTAGAATAGCTGAAGAAGCTCCGACTTGTATTTGATACACTACGTGCAAAGCTAATTTACTCGCAGCACTCGGTTACCATTAAATGAAGAGTGATAAAATGACAACTTACCTTTCTTTCTGCAGTGAAAATTCATAACTTTATCCAGGGTTGTGACAGCAGATGTTGTTCAGCCTCTTATCGTCACTATTGTTTCGTTTGACAGTTTAAAGTATCCAGGAAGTGAAACGACTTCCGGTTTGAAACAGCAGAATTGTGGGATATGTAGTTTTAGATGAGTCTACTATTGCGCTGAATACACTTCTCTGACAAGAAACAAGGCAACTTAGCATGATTTCCGTGTATCATAACGTGAGAAAATATAAGCTATATTACAAGTGTCTACATTTAACATTGTTTGACAAAATAAACGATTGTTTTTCAGATGTAGTTATAAGCTGGAATGTTTCTTTATTGATTTTCAACATAGGTATAGGCCTACTTGATGCAAACATTAGCAAGTATGTATGGCACGTGAGAAAATTATTACTAACCTAAAGTAATTTAAAGTAAACAAAGTATTTTATCTACCGTACAATACAGAATAAATTGTGTCGTAATGACGAAGTGATAAATTATTTTAATATATTTTTGTCACAGAAACAGCTTCTTCTTACATTATTTTGATATCCCATGAGGTTAATTATAAGGCACCTAATGAACACGTGATTTGTGCCAAATCACCCCCAGTATGCACAGAACCCCTGAATGAACAAACTGATAAAAATCAGTTTTGCGTCTTTGTAAAACACAATTTATTGTAGAAAGTTTTAATTATTTAGTTTCTCCTTAAACCAACATTTTATTTTACTTTTAACCAACTGCCAGTCAGTCATCACAGGTGTAGTTCATTACTTTAACTCTGTTCCACTAATGTTTGACAACCAAAAATTGTCCAAATATTTTTTTGGTATTTATGGTTTTATCATTTGAAACCAATTGCTGTGCTGTGTTTAGAGTTGTCTTTTTTATGTGTTAAATGTTATGTGTTTTATGTTCAAATAAATACCATTTTCATATTTTGTGCAAAAACATTAATAGCTTTTGAGAGTGGCTTACGTATCCAAATAGCCTACTTTTGGGGGTCACTGTGTTATGTACATCATCTCAGCACAGCAGTGACATGCATAAATAACAACTTGTCACTGTCTCATCAAATCCCAAATGCATACAATAACACTTCAGTTGCATCACTGTATAATATGTTTAATTGTACTATGCGTGTCAATAAATCTGGACAGATATGGATGTGTAAAAGTACAATGTCTTCACTGAATGAACAAAACAGGCTGTTATTATTGCTCGACAGTTATTATTACTGTGACTTCATGCGCACTGTGTGTACATTCAATGGCGATTGAAAGGTTTTTTCACGCTCTTTACTTAAAATTTCACATGTCATTACAGTATTACAGTCACATGTATTAATATACACGCCTTTTAAAGCCAATTATAATCCACATATTAATGCTCTATTCTGCATGACCATATTTTAGAGCCTTTAATCCACCCCATACCTAAACTTAACAACTACCTTACTATTAATAAGCAGCAAATTAGGAGTTTATTGACTTAGTTAATAGTGAATATGTGTTCCCTATATTCTAAAGTGTTACCGGATTGTGATTTATTTTCATAAAGAATTAGGGGTGGAATGACTAACAAAACATTTCTTTAAAAAAATTCATGTAAAATACTGCAAATAAGTTGTTGACATCGCCTGTGCATGGTGTTGGATAATTATTTATCGCTGTGATGAATTTCAGTCTGATTTAGCGTTGTTGGTTGTGGTTCGGTCCAAAACCGTTTATTCTGTTTATTGTGAGCAAAACAAGGTCTGCTTGAAATACTATTGTAACACTTTTATAACGATAAAGACATTAATTAGTCATTATTCAGTATTTAATAAATAAAGAAGGTCTGGTGGTTTTTAAGCAACAGATGTGCACGCTATTAAATGATGCTGGAGTTACATTATTTAAATTTACACTACATTACTTACAGTGCAATATAAACTGATAATTTTACATCACATGAATGCCACCAAACGCGCGTTTTTATTCATGCTCCAATTACATTTACTTATATTTACATTATAGTCGCTAATTGCTGCGCGAAAGATTATCAACACACCATTCTTACTTGCACAGATGAATGGCAATGCTTTTATTTATTATAAATTAGGATGGGAATGATGATGTCCCGACAAAATCCTTGTAAATTTACTGTCAGTGTCAAGTACACGCCTAGTGTTCTGCGCTTAAGTTGAGGCTCCGCCCACAGAGCGAAACTGGCCAATGAGCGCTTAGTAAACCACGAGTGTCGCTAAACAGGCATTATTGGAATCCTTGCGCCAGAGTTCTAAAAAGTGACGTCACAGTGACAGTAATGGTATTAGAGCCTGCAGCTCTTCTTTCTTATTATTACTTGGTCATTTGCAACTTTGGTCGTGTTCAACGCATTACTACTTGCAACTTATTGCTTTTTTGCTCAACTGCAAACTCTACAACTTTGCTTACCTGCAGTTTAGAGTCAGCAGTGAAAATGAGACTGCTAAAATCACACTGCAAAAAAGCTGAGAACTGTGGACAAGTGTATGATTTACAACAATGTACACCACCACAATTTGTCAGCGATGCAGTGGGAACCCATTCACTTCTACCACTTGAACTCCAACCGGTTTCTGATGTGGATGAGGCGAAAGGAGGAAGAATGAAGAAGAAACTTAAAAAGATAAAGAGGGGTTGGAAGGCACTATTTGGTAACAGCAGAGCTAGTGAAAAATACAGCCAGAAGACTAGCTCAGCTGAGGGCGAGAAAAAGGACGAGGGCTCTGATGCAGCTGTGCTACAGTCCAGGAGAAACACTGAAAGTATGTTACATGACCAAGTTTTCTCTGTCCAGGAAAAAAAAGGGCACAGTAAAAAATGTAGAGACATATTACATAATACAAAATCCATTTGCTCAAGAAGGCACTGAACAACTGAACTGTGGGTTATTTATTTGATTCATAGCACATGGCAATAGATACAGTCACATTTCCAGAGTCCTTTTTAGTTATTGAGTCAATTTCAGCCTTGACAAATCAGCCTATGATCAGGAAGCACTATAACAATTTTCATTAAAAAACATTTAACAGATCAGTAGTCTATAAATGTTTAAATATGAGGACATGAAAATATAAGAACAAACTTAAATGGCGTTAACTTGTTTAACATTATCTATTTAAATGTATTTTAATTAAAGATCTGTTAAGCATGAATGCACATAATGTGAATTTGTTAATGTTATATGAAAGTCGTTATAAAGTGTTAATATATAATTAGTGAGGTACATAATGTATTGGTAATATGCCACTTGCACTTTTGTGCCAAAAGTAATTTTTCACTTGCACATGAGAGTGAAATGCTTACAGTGTAAAGCCCTGCCAAACAACATAAAAGAATAACTCATAATTTATAGCTAGCGTAGCTGTAGTAGGATATGAGTAGGCACTAATAATATGAAAATAACTTATATTCATATAAATTTTTGTTGTTGTCATTCCTCTTTAGACCAGATTACCAGTGTCCAAGGCCAAGCTGCAGCCTGCACTGAGTTGGATTTGAATGGTGATGCCCTAAAAGCTCCAGTGCAACAATGCGCTTTTGATGTCAATTGGGGAAAAGGAGGAAGAAATAAGGAGAAATTTAAAAAGAAAAAGTCATTTTGGAAGGTACTATTTCTTTGTATAAGACCTAGTAAAAAAGTCCTCCAAACTCCAGCCTGCACTGTAGTCGACCAGAGTGTTGACACCCTCCAAGCTCAAGTCCACACAGCGTCTGAAAGGAGTGTTGATGCCCTCCAAGCTCAAGTCCACACAGAGTCTGAAAGGAGTGTTGATGCCCTCCAAGCTCCAGTCCACACTGAGTCTGAAAGGAGTGTTGGTGCCCTCCAAGCTCCAGACCACACTGAGTCCGACTGGAGTGTTGATGCCCTCCAAGCTCCAGACCACACTGAGTCCGACTGGAGTGCTGATGCCCTCCAAGCTCCAGACCGCACTGAGTCCGACTGGAGCGTTGATGCCTTCCAAGCTCCAGTCCACACTGGGTCCGACTGGAGTGTTGATGCCCTCCAAGCTCCAGTCCACACTGAGTCTGAAAGGAGTGTTGATGCCCTCCAAGCTCCAGTCCGCACTGAGTCCGACTGGAGCGTTGATGCCCTACAAGCTCCAGTCCGCGCCGTGTCTGACTGGAGCGTTGATGCCCTCCAATCTCCAGTCCGCGCCGTGTCGGACTGTAGCATTGATGCCTTCCAAGCTCCAGTCCGCGCCGGGTTCGACTGGAGTGTTGATGCCTTCCAAGCTCCAGTCCGTGCCATGTCTGACTGGAGTGTTGATGCCCTCCAAGCTCCAGTCCTCGCCATGTCTGACTGGAGCGTTGATGCCCTCCAAGCTCCAGTCCGCGCCATGTCTGACTGGAGCGTTGATGCCCTCCAAGCTCCAGTCCGCGCCATGTCTGACTGGAGCGTTGATGCCCTCCAAGCTCCAGTCTGCGCCATGTCTGACTGGAGCGTTGATGCCCTCCAAGCTCCAGTCCGCGCCATGTCTGACTGGAGCGTTGATGCCCTCCAATCTCCAGTCCGCGCCGTGTCGGACTGTAGCATTGATGCCTTCCAAGCTCCAGTCCGCGCCGTGTTCGACTGGAGCGTTGATGCCTCCCAAGCTCCAGTCCGCGCCATGTCTGACTGGAGCGTTGATGCCCTCCAAGCTCCAGTCCACACTGAGTCTGAAAGGAGTGTTGATGCCCTCCAAGCTCAAGTCCACACAGAGTCTGAAAGGAGTGTTGATGCCCTCCAAGCTCAAGTCCACACAGAGTCTGAAAGGAGTGTTGATGCCCTCCAAGCTCAAGTCCACACAGAGTCTGAAAGGAGTGTTGATGCCCTCCAAGCTCAAGTCCACACAGAGTCTGAAAGGAGTGTTGATGCCCTCCAAGCTCAAGACTGAGTCCGACTGGAGCGTTGATGCTTTCCAAGCTCCAGTCCACACTGAGTCCGACTGGAGCGTTGATGCTTTCCAAGCTCCAGTCCACACTGGGTCCGACTGGAGCGTTGATGCCTTCCAATCTCCAGTCCACGCCGTGTCGGACTGGAACATTGATACCTTCCAAGCTCCAGTCCGCGCCGTGTTCGACTGGAGCGTTGATGCCT